AGCAAACAACTTTTTGCTTGATTTCTTTGACTCACACTGGACTCTCTTCTTCTTCAAAACTTCCCAGGTTGCTTGGTCAATCACACTGCACGACGCTCCAGAATCAATAAGTACTGCTGGTAACGTCACTCTTCCAAACTTCAAAACAACTCCAACAACTGACCAACTCACACTGTAAATGCATAATAATCTTGTTGGCCAGTGGCTGAATCCTCAGATAGTTGATAGGCTCTACCCCCTGTATTATTCCTTCCCTCGTCATCTCTTGTAAGAGGTTTGCGTTCCTTTGTTTTGCAACAGACTGCAAAATGTACAATCCCACCACATGCATTACATTTCTTGCTACGGGCAGGGAAATTCGGGTCACGTGCCATATGGTCAGTGTAATTAAAGTGAAAACAGCCTCTCACTTTTGTCTCCTGAGAACCACCAGACGGTTTACCAGGCTTATTTCCTTTGTTTCTACCCTGCACTGCCCCTTTTCCTTTTCCTTTGGTGTGAGGTTTGCTGGAAACAGCATTCACCTGACCGGATGACTGATCCATAGCCTTGACCTGCATGTTCACTGCTTCCTGCACACGAGCCAAATCTTGTAAATCCTTCAGAGTAGCATTTGTTTTCTCAAGCAACTTACTGCGAAGTGTGGGGTCAGCTATGCCCCATTAGATTTAATAAAGATCAGATAAGGCAGCATATTTTGGATGTCGTAAACAAATGCAGGAGAGGCATAAGGAATGGTCATGACTACACAAGGTATTCTCATCATGATTGTTCTCTTATTGCATGCATTCTGGAAATTATATGTACAATGACAGTACTGGGAGAGAATACATGAAATAGCATTTACTTGAACTGTGGAAATAAAATGGTTTTACCTAAGAATGATCAACAACTTGAACAGTAATACAAACTTGAGAAGCCTTAAAAACTGTAGCCTCTAGTGTAAGCGTTCTTAGGGGTTCATCAAGCGTTCCTACCCCACTAATGTCTGCTGGACCAAAAGATAAATTCATTTCCCATTGTTTGCAAAAATCAGCTGGAGATCACAAGCAGACTATGGGAGATCCAATCAGCGCTGATGAACTTAAATTGTTGACAAGCCAAACTCAAACTTACAAGCTTGGTAGAGTCTCATACGTGACCAAAGATTTTTGCTCCGGACGAGAATCTAGGATATAAGCATTGGTTTTTTGTATATTTCTCTCTGTAATGGCTGGATTAGATGTCGTTTGCTCATAAGTTGTTCTTTGGGTGATGCAACGATGGAGTTACCTTGTAACTGAACAAAAAGTAGAATTTTTTTCAGACTTCATTGTTTTGTAGTAAAGTCGACTTTGGATCAAAAGATTCAACCTCATAGGTAATTCTTTTCAATGAGATAGTGTGGGTAGCCTCTAGTACGAACGCATGGGAGTTAACTGAGTAGTTTGTTCTAGAACTGAAAGGTCTTCACATTTCATGAGACCTTTCGGATCTCTTCTGGAGCTAAGTCGAGCACGAAATTTCTCAAGGTCCAAAGTGCACTTTCCAGATCTGAAAGTCTGCTGTAATTGGTCTATGTTTTTTCCCGCTCAAATCAGCAGATGTTAGTGGGACAGGAATGCGTTATGAACCCCTAAGAACGTCTGCATGGCAGGCTAGAAAAAAAGGCTACATAGGCTGTAGCACTAGTACATGCCGTTAATTAGCACTGAAAGGGTAACCATGTAGGCAGTAACAATTTGTACAACATCAGTTATTTAACAATCATTCCATGTGTGTGATGGATGTGAGGTGGTAAATAGCCAATGAGGTGCTTTGCACCAAGTTGGCTACGACTATCTCATATCTAACAAGCGCAAATGTAATAATTGTTATATTAAATTTTTTAACCTCCAAACGTCTAGTTATTACAACTGATTTTTAGTAAATGCAATTTAAAGTACTACTACGACGAAAATTTTTGTCTTTGTTTCCGAGTTTTTTAACACAAATCTTTTCTATAGGTTTAAAATTATACAAATAGTGAAAAATTGGAACCTTACTTGCGTCCGCGGGCTGGAAATTTCCATCCAAAGAGTGCATAAATACTGTCCGCCATTACACAGTTTGCAACACAATAGCCCGCGAGATCTCCGCAAAGCGGTGTTGCATTTGACCACATGATTTAAGCACTGTGACATAGAAACATCAACCAAAAGATCGAGTCTTGAATATAATGTCGTCTAAATCCGAATTGTCTTCCTCCAGTTCTTCTGGAAGCGACACAAGAAGTTTTTAACATGGAAGCAGATTTGTCTAACTTCGTTCCTTACGAAGAAGATTTAAAGCCACTGGCAACAGAGGAGGAAGCTGCCGAGCAAGATGCAAGGATGGCTGAAGAACTTGAAGAGGAACTCCGCTATCAGGCAAGATTTGACCGTGAAGTGGACGTTAATACATGGTATGCCCATTGAACTGTTTTTGTTTAAGTTTCTGATCAATTATCTGTTTTTTCTTTTACTTTTGTTTGGTCGTGCTTAATTAGAAAGTAAACATGAAAGCCTATGTTTTGCAGTTTTTGTTGACACCAACGATGGCCTCTATTACCGTGCAAACTGAGTCCTAGTTTGTTATCGCCGAGTTTTTTAAGGGCTTTAAGAATCTTTATTTCGATTATTTATATTATTTGTATTCTATTTCATTTTTTATTCCAGTTAATATTCGAACACTATTGTTTGTGTACTTTTGGGACTGCAGGTGCTTCTGCTGGAATTGCTCAGTTGACTTCACCACTAAACCAGAAGAGTGCCAGTGCTGCTAGGAAATTTACCGCTGTGGTGAAGTTATGGAAAGGTTTGGCGATACCAGTCAGTGTATTACTCTCCATCCTGGGTTCCAGGATGTCTGCCTCAATCAGCACGTTTTAGAAGTAGTGGCATTGGGACTGAAAACAAAACCTGGAAAGTCATACCGAGTATTGTATGATCAAGGACCAAAAACACAGTCAGAGTAAGTTTCCTAGCTAGTACCACTTCTCATGTTCTCTTAGGAAAGTAAAGTCTTGAACATTTGAATACAAAAGCATTGTTTTAAAAATGTTTTAAAATTCACCTTTTGATTCCACTGTTTGCTTATTTGGCTGGTGTGTTTGATTTTTCCTTCTATTTATACCGAACCCAGAGGTTTCACCTAGTAGTGAGTCAACGCCCAACTAGTTCAACCGTCAGAAATTGAGTTCATTTGATATTTGCTTATACTGAATTAGCCTCATAAATAGTTAGCCCCCCCCCCAAAAAAAATTTTATATGGGTCTGTATTTGTTGTTATTACTGAAAGTGTCTTGCGCCAAAATGCAAATAATTGCAGGTGATAAGGGGAAACCGCTATCCTGATCTCCAGGTTGTTATTACACATGCATTGCACCATTTGCTTGGACTTCCAGTAAGATTGAATGAAATGCACAGAACGCAATTTGATCACATGCGCTTGGACATTCTATCACTCTGTAATCTGATCACACATGTTGACTATCTCTCACGTGAAACTTATGCCAAGTACACCCAGCACAGTGATGGAGTAAAATTGTTTTGACCTTTGATTGTTGTTGCCCGCACTCCATAGAGGTAACTTCTGAACTTGCTTTGAAAGGTTTTTGAGGTCAGTGGCATACCACCAATTTACCAGGCTGCTATGGGATTTTACCGGCAGTTCCCTGCGATACCCTCTGCCATGCTGTGCTTACAAGATGATGAGAAAAAAGTTTCCAGAAGAGAATCAATATTACCATGGATTTGAAGATGATGATCGATTCATATAGTTGGTATAACCAACAAAAAGCCACCAAAGGTAATAAAAGTCATGACCAACAGAACGTCATGCCAATTATACATTTTAATGACTCAGACACAACTTTAAAGCTTTGGGAATTCAATATTTGACTCAAGGTGGAAAAGCTAATTTTTTTTTCATGTAAATAGATGAAAACTTGTGCATGAGGAAGGTAAAAGTATAATAAGTTTGGTGCATATTATGCTACAGGTCAACGTTACATTTAGTTTAAAATTTTGTAATCTCGGTTGTTTCTCAAATTCCTTTGTAACACCATGTATTGTTTCTTTTTGGCAGTTGCCTGATGATTGCTTCTCATGAAGCATGAAACTCTGAGTAGCAAGTAAATGTTTTTGACCTAGTTCAAGTCTACGTATGTATATACATATATATGTATACTAATACAAATGTAAAGGATGAAAATTATAAGTTGTAACTATATATATAAATTTTTTTTCAAATGCTTGTTTATTTCATTCACTTGTTGTGAAAAATCATCTTCACCACTGTGTACCTTTAAACACAGTGGCGAACAAGTGTAATTATGTAAAAATATTGAAATATAACCCGTTTTTTGATTGATAAGAAAATCAGTGTTTTTATGACAAAATCCAAATTGGAGCATATGCGGTCCTTCCCAGCTTGTATATCTCTTACTTCGTGAAAGATCTACACTTTCTCACATAATAGTTTATTGCCTGCAATTTGAACCATTTCTGCCAAAGATTGTAGATTGGGAAACAGTGGATGGAAAACACCAGATAATAGAAGAACCAAATGACATTTTCATAATGTTTGTTGTGAAGTAGGAGAGGTGAAGGATTGTTGTTGAGCCTGTGTTTGCTGGTTGTCCCGTGTTTGTAAGTGCGTGTGTGGCTGATGAGGCTGGGGAACAGAAAAGGATTCAAGGGTGTCTGTGATTTTCTTTTCCCATGCTTCTGATTGGTAGTAATCTTCCTTAATGCTGCTGTAACGATTGTTCAGTTGACAGTCTTCATCTTCATCCGTCTCTTGGTTAGAATTAGTGCTGGGTGATGTCGAAGTTGATGGCTTGGTGGGTTCCAGTCGGCTTTGGTTAAAAGATTGAGACAGCTTTGTCATTTCTTGTAGTAGTGGTTTAGTGCAAATGCGACATTGTTTGTTGGTCATGTTGTAGCAAGAAAGGTGGATAGTGTGGAAGGAAGAAAGACGGATTGCAGGCTCAGGATTTTTTAAAGTACAATCTTTGAAATCGCAGATTTTTTAAGGGTAAGGTAGAATGTTGGTGATGTGATCATTGTGTTTTGCAAAAGAATAGGCTTAAGGAAGTGCTTTACTTGTTACTTCTGTGCATTTACCTTTCGAGGAACCTGCAAATTAACAGAGTAATACAATGTTATTATATCAACTCTGACTATTGACAGTATTATTTTGATATGAATTGCTACGTTCCTTAGAGTGGTTTTAACCCGTGCAACAACAATGGTATCAGTGCTAAGTGGTCACAAGTAAACAAAAGAAAACTACAAGAGTGTAATACTGCATAGTAGTCTCTATGTTTTTCATACTCTTGACTTATATATTTTACTATTTATCTATATTTTTACAACGTGCTATGTCGGTGATTTAGATGCTGCATTATCAGCTTTGTTATTTTGACATTGTAAGAATGGTACTACAGGTATAATTACCGCTGTAACTTGCTAATTTCGATTTGTCTCCTATAAATCAACTATGTAATATTCATGCAAGGCTATTAACATCTTCCATTTACCAGTTTTAACTTTCCAATATTTTGGCCCACTGTCTCGATGACTGCGAGTAACGTTTCAGCTGTTTTTCCAACAAGACCTTCCCAACTTTTCTCTGACATTCCTCTGCAGTAAGGTTTAGCAAATTCAGCAATGAAGGACTTGCGGGACTTAGACATAGCTATTATAATTGCCTCTTTACATATTTCCTCTGCAGTGTTGTGGGCTTGTCTTGCTGCTCTGAGTACATTGTGCCATATTTCAACTTTTTTTTCTGTAATGAATGACATCCATCTTTCTTTGCAGCAGTAGTATTAGCTGAAATCATTTCTTTGGTGATAAATGTCACTAAGCATTGAGAGGGTGGACCTGTCATAATGATGGCGTTTCCAAATGATAAACAACAAAGCAAACCTGAACATGGCAGAAATGAAAGAGGCCAAGTTTCCAGAACGGAACATCACTTGATAATGAAAGAATGAAAGTGGAATGACTTCATCTAAAAGGTGGAACAAACAAGAAAATTCAATGTCCTTACAGCTGAAATTTGTGGATAACTTTATCTCTTAGTTGTAGCTATCCCAAGAAAACAGTGTTCAGCAGCAGGTTTATTCTGAAAGGCTTAGGTTTATGTGGAAGCTCTGATCCAAAGGTTTCTTTCTACACATTGGAGAGAATAGAGTGGTAGATCTGCATTATATTTTCCTGTGCATTTAAGGTCACATGAAAGGGACCCTGTTCTGGAATCATAGACAGAAAGGGAGAATCTTCATTGACTTCTTGAGCAATAAGTTTTTTGAAGTAGTACCAAGTGGGCCAAACACACGGAGTGGGGAGAGCAAACTTTGAAAGGTAAACTTTTAGTTGGCGGGGAGTTTTATATCTCCTGACATTTTTCGAAAAATAGTGCTATTACTAGCTATATTATTAAGCACGAAGCCTCCTAAGGACTCATATAATGCCTCAGACTGGTCCTCCATACTTCTCGCTGAACGGAACGGTCAAACTGACAAATTTATCTCTATAACTTTCCTGCCCTGTCCTCAAAGGGCGACGACCGGGTGCGATCGCAGACGGTATTTTGGAGCCAAAATTAACTACTATCCAAACTGACTCGTGCTTTCAACTAACTAGGATTGTTAAAAGTGGTGACGAGGTCGTGAATCCAGTACCACCAACACGAACCAACTCATCAAGACAATGTAACAGCAGAAAACCAAAATGTTTGGCGAGTTCAAAAACTATTGCCATTAACCACAGGGCTGTACCATGTGATGTTTGCAAACGCAAGACCCTCATTAAATGCGGTGATATTGCTCCTAAAATGTATGACCGGATGATTAATGGTACGAATTTGCAGTGAACATGCCCTGGTTGCGTTCATTATGCTGGTACAAATACTGCCACATGAATTCTGGAGGACTCACAATGAAAGCCCTCTTTGTTTATATGACGTCCTGGAGACTAGATTTGCTACAAAGGGACTCTGAATTGCTCATCTGAATGCACGAAGCTTACTTTATAAGCTTAGTGAAATTAAATTGCTATCATACGATAGCAAGACTGATATATTAGCCATCACTGAGATCCACCTGGATGAGAAAATTCCCTCTGCATCTTTAACCATTGATGGATAAAAGACTGCCAGACTAGATAGGAAACATAAACAAGGTGGTGGCTGTCTTATTTACTTTTCCGAGAAGCTTTATATTTATGAAAGAGAAGATCTTAAATCAGACATCGAAGCAGTCTGGATTGATATGACAATTAGATCACAAAAGCTACTTGTTGGATGTGTGTATAGGCCTCCTAATGATTATAGTTTCTATAATAAATTCTACTACTGCCTGGGAAGAATAACAAAGGGAAGAAATAATGTTGTGATCCTGGGTGACCTGAATTCTGATTTACTGGCAAGAGGATACGAGGGCAGAAGACTCTCAAGGATTCTTGGCAGTCTTGATCTACACAATGTCATGAAAGAACCAACTAGAGTAACTAAAAACATCTACCATGATTGATCTCCTTATAACAAGTGATACTTCTAAAATAACTGCTTCAGGTGGCTTATCTGATCACTGCCTTATTTATGGCACACTCAACCTTCATAAAGACAAGACTCCTCCAAAGTATGTTACTGTCAAAAATTACAAGCATCTCAATATCAAGAACTTGAAATATGATATGGAGTGTCCTCCTTGGCCAGTAATTGAAACCTTTGACAATATTAATGATATGACATGGGCTTGGGAAACGATTTATAAGAATATCTTGAACGAACACCTGTCAGAAAGGACAGCTAAAGTTTGCTCCAACAGGTTACCATGGATGAACTCTCATATACGGAAAACTATGAATAGGCGATTCAAAGCCCTCAATCTTGCAAAGGAAACTGGTACTAAAGAATCATGGGATGAATATAAAAAAACTTAGGAATGAAGTTACTTATCTCCTGAGGACTGCTGAAGCAAATTACTGGCAAGAAAAGTTCGCCAACATCAAATCAAGCAAGCACTGGAGGCTGGTTGGAAAATTAACCAATAAAAAGGTGATTGAGCCAATCTGGGATGATGAAAACAATATTATCCTTGATGATGTGGTCAAAACTGAGGCTACGAATGATTACAGCAATAGGACCAACCCTTGCCTCCAAAATTAACTCTGCAGAGGGCGTCATTGATATTACTCACTTGTATTAAGTCTCGCCCACAATTTCACAAGTTCCATTTGATCAAGACAAGCTATTAAAACGCCTTAGCACAATTAATCCAAGGAAGACTTCAGGTCCTGATTCTATATCCCCTCGAGATTTTCACCTTTTACGTGAGACAATGATGAATGGATTGTATACTGTGTTTAAGTGCAGTCTGGAGGAATCCACTGTACCGACACAATGGAAGATATCAAGAATGCATACCTTCTATAAGAAGGGTGATGCATCAGACAGGGGAAATTATCGCCCTCTGCAGGTGTTAAGAGTTCCCAGCAAGCTCTTAGAAGCAATAGTATGAGAAGGCCTGGATGAATTTATCTCAGATACAGGACCTCCAAGTAATAACCAATGGGCCAATGGGGCTTCCGAGCTGGCAGGTCAACTGAGGTTCTTCTGATACATCTAACTGAAACCGGGAAGCAAACACTGGATAACAGTCAGGTAGTTGGAGCTGTGTATATAGACTTTCAGAAGGCTTTTGATACAGTATACTATTTCGAGATACAAATTAGAAGCCATCGGTATTACTGGAGATCTTCTGAATTGGATGATTAGTTATTTAACAAACAGAGAGCAGTTTGCCATTGTAAATGGTTGTATCTCACAGACTAAGAATGTCTGTTGCAGAGTGCCACAACGTTCCTTGCTTGGGCCAAGGTTCTTCTCCTATTATGTCAATAATCTCCCTGATGAACACGTTCTCAAGCCCAAATACAGGATAATACTGAAATGTCATATGATCATAAATTCGCTAATATCACGAAGCTTGGAGTAACGTACTCCAAGGGAATTATGGGCATCTATCCACAGCTTTCAAAATGACCGAATCCACCAAGAAAAAGAGGGGCGAAGAGGGTTCTTGATCAAGCTGAAAGAGACTTAGAGCAAGTGCTGCACGATTGTCAATTGCTGACAAAACAAAACCCAAAAGGAAAAGAAGCTTACTATTACAGAGACTGTTCAAGACCCAATAACTGGACGGAAAAAATCAATATTCCCACCAACCTCGCTTTATTAATAGTACGGTTCCAGCTCCGAATACCTCCTGATCGTCAGATGGCTTTAACTCTGACTTACAACCTGGTAAGCTTACCTGAACGTACACTCCCAGGAAAAAAATGAAGGTGATAAATACATTAAGACAGAATCCACCAGGAAATTGAGCAATTTCAATGTTCAGTGGACAAAAACCTTGTACCAGAATAATTTAAACAATTTCGCATTCTTTTTTACATTTTTCAAGGGCTATAGATACAATAAGTTAGCTGTAATAACACCAAAGACTTTTTCTCATGGGAACCCGAGAGAATACATGTAAAATCTCACAAGAATGGTGAAAACACAATAAAATTCTGAAAATTTCAGGGGTACCATGTCATATGATTTGGTGAAATTTGACATTAAAGGGACTAGATCATGGTTATGCGCATGCGCGCCGTTTCGCTCTGCAGAATAAGTTTGTTGGGTCAACAATAAATTCGAAAACGCCATTACTGCTGCAATCATTCAAAATCCGTCGTTTTGTTTTTACATCCGTCGCTTTGGCTGGCCCAGTTATACTTCAATACTAGTAATTAAAGTGTATTTGTGTCGTTTGAGTGATTAAGTTTTAAGAATGCGAAAAAAAAAACGTTTTAATCATGGAGGGTAAGAAGAGACGTCGTGGCCGTCCGTCGATAGGTCGTTCAGAAGAATCGGTGGAAGCCGAAAGACTTTACAGATCAGTCTGGTGGAGATCCAGAAGTCGTATTTGGCTTACTAAAAGGATTCACCAAACATGGAAGTTTTTGAAAGGTATGAGTTTGCTGAACACAGACTCGGACTTCGCTGCTCATTTACTCTCATTGGAAATGTCCCGATTGCAAAGGTGAGTAATGTTTGGTTGTCGTTTTTGAAGTAGACGTATTCAAATGACTTTGCTTTCCCATGAATTGATATTATGTCACACCTTATGCTTTTGTGTCCATTTTTTAGTGGCATAACGTTGTGTTGTGCCTCCTGGTCTCGATCTTCGAGCTGGTAATAAATTCCCCTGTCTAATCGAATCTCACACATTCATCGTAATAGAAATCTTGTTTGATAGACTCATAAGAGAATGATAATTATATTTCTTGTAGAATGAACAAGAAGGGAATGCAAACTGTGCGGCTGGCCAGGAAAAGCAGTGGAAGCAAACGATCAAAGAGGACAAGAACTGATACATCAGGTAAACACAGCCACATGTTTTGCTCTTTCCTGTCGTGTTTTTTTTTTTACTGTGACGACTTTTCCGATGTCAACATATTTTGGTTTTCAGGCCCAGTCACTTCTACTCCTGGTCAAGTCAAGCATTCGAAAAGGAGTCTGTTCTCTTCTCCATCAGGGATAACTAGTGCCAGCCTACAACATTTGTCAGTTTCAGAAAGGTATAGTGAGATGTTTTTCAGTAGATCACATTTTGTCCCGCATGTGATTTGATGGTATATATTGTCCTTTCATGATTCAGTATTTGGGCAGCACTTATACGTTTACAGTGTTGGAGTCGATAATATCTCGACGCACTGTCTATTTAGCCAGGTTTATACCAGGATGCTGGTAAACTGAGCACTTAGGCTGTACTTAGCTCAACAAAATATTTATTGGTGACTTATTCTTATTCATTTATTTGTAGCAACAAGAGCTGCGACAACCAGAGGTTCGTGGACATAACAGGCTCATTTTTACATTCGTCTGAGGATGAAGATCAAGATGGAGAAATGCAGAAAACAACAGAGGGTCCCGACAGTCCTAGTTTTCAAGTTCTTGATGGTTCAGTACTAGTGACCCCCAGCAAAGCCTTCCAGTCAGACACTTCAGAAGGTCAAACATCAGACAGTAGCTTGTCTGGTGAAGAGCCTGATGACAGCGATAATGAAACAAAGTATGGTTGCCATCTTTACGTGACTTTTTGCATATAATGTAGTTAATTTTTTATCTCAGGTAATTTTTCTTTTTCCTTTGTTTCAACTTCATTAGCATACATTACCATACCCTCAAACAAAATAAAAACAAAAATTACCAGGGATAGAAAAATAACTTCAGCATATATATTATTGTACGCAGAAGCCCCAGAAATTGTGCATATCTATCCCATGAAAAGGACTGAATTTTCCTGGATGGGTGGGTTTTAGAGGATAAAATTAATGTTAGTAATAAAATATGTCAACATGTGATAATTGTAATTTTGCGATCAACAGGTTTATTAGAAATGAAAAGCCTTTTGTTTAGGAGGAATGGAAGTCTTATGACCCTACCCATTAGCTTATTTATACAAAGATCCTGATCATGTTAAAAGGTGCACTGCCTAAAGAGAGGACTTATGTTTCTGGGTTACTGAAATAACTTTATGACACTGCAACTTTTTATACTCTTGATGGATCTTTAGTAAGTGTGTTTTTTTTTGGTTGAATACATGCTTGGCATTTTGTTCTAGTATGCAGAATATACTGACACTGTTAGAGGACAGTGATGAAAGCAGTGGTACCAGCAGCTCAGACTCTGATAGTGAGCATGATGCCCAGAGTGGAGACGATGAAGATGAAGATGGAGACCTTAGTGGGGAAGAACTAGTAGAAGAGCTTGTCGGGTAATTCTGTTATTAACTTTTTTTACCCATCTAGATATGTAGGTTTATAGCACAGATGGAGTTTTCATCCCATCCTTCAAACAAGTAAAGAAATCGGAAAATATGAATGTAATGATGTTATTAGATGCATGTACATTCTTGGCTATATGCGCAATTTGTTGATCTGACTGTGCCTTTCTTTTGTAGTGACAGTGCAACAGTGGAGAGCCAGGAAGAAGAAGATGTGTATAGCCAGTATCCCATTGGGCCCGGGCTACAGTTTTCACGTGCAGAGGAAGCACATAGCCACGTCGAGGAACTGCTCAAGATTGAGGAACAAAAATTTATTATTTCAGAGACAAGGCTTATTGATCTCTTTAGAGGGAGATGCCAGGAACCTGGCTGTGCTAGCGAATGCACCGTGAAGTCTAAAAGCGTTGGCTGTACCATGGAGCTATGGTGGAAGTGTCAGAATGGCCACAAGGGCAAATGGCAGTCATCAGAGGAATATGGTGGAATGTACTCTAACAACCTGCAATTCTCTTCAGCATTACTGTTATCTGGAAATAACCACTCAAAGATAGAACTGATGAGCAGATTCCTTGGTCTCTCATGTCCATCCAGGGCTTCCTTCTTGCGAGTACAAAAGTTCTATTGTGTTCCAGCAATCGATGAATGGTGGGAGTGGATGAGAACAAACATAATTTCACTGATCGGAACTCTGGACTTAGTGGTCAGTGGTGATGGGCAGAGTGACTCTCCAGGACACTCAGCAAAGTATCTGACTTACTTTGTAATGGTAACAGATGCATTGCAAGAGTACATAGTGCACCTGGAGTGCATGGATAAACGAGAGGTTGGTGGGAAATCACCAAATATGGAGAAAGAGGCCTTGAAGCGTTCCATTGAAAAATTAAAGCTCCTTGTGAACCTGAAGGAAGTTGTAACTGATGCATCATCATCCATAATTAAAATGATGGGTACGACATTCTATTATTCTATTCTTTAGTAATATTCTTGTAATAATGTGCAAATAGTACATCAATACCCACTATCATACAGCTGATAATAGTCTGGGATGTCGGATTTAGCATGACATTAACAAGTCACATTGTGTTTGCTTTATCTTTTTTGATCCAAGGGTTACTCACCATAAGCTTTGTTCAATATACAAACATTTGTTGATCTCCTTTGGTACATTTACAGAATTTTGAAGAATTTGAGAAAAGTAAAAATTAATTAGCTTTTCTTTTTGAAGTAATCCACTTTTATTTATTTCTTACCCATTAGCTGATGAATTCAAAGACGTTGCCCATTCACTTGATATCTGGCACAAGTCGAAGAATATAAGAAAGTGTCTCATGAAGGTATACCATTGATAAGAAAATATTATATAAATAATAATGATAATATATAAATAAATAATAAGATGATAGTGATGATTACCTATCAGCCTGCATACGGTGTTTTCACTAACGTGGCCAGCATCTATGCAAATTTATTGGAACAAAAGAAAGCGTATGCATAAGAAAAGAGTTCAATTCCCACAGGATTGGTTTGGGACACCAACATGGCTGCTGTTTCATTGTCTTGGGACACCAATATGGCTGTCGTGACATCATATGAAAACACTGGATAGATTGATCATGCTGCATGCACACAGCAAATTTGAATACAAGTACTTTTTCTTACATCCATTTAAAATAATTTATTGTTATTGAGACAACTAGTAGCTTTGATTAATGTGTTTCCATCGCAAGTTATTTTGTTTCAAATACTGACCAGTGATTATCATTTCCTTCATTGTCTTTTATTTCAGCTTGGGAAAACGAAGGGAAATGAAAAAATTTGTCAGTGGACTGACCACATTATAAACCATTTTTGGTACTGTTGCTCTAATTGTGATGGACAAGAATCAAAACTCAAGGTAAAAAAAATAGTTGTTTATTGTTCATTCCAACCATCATTTACTGTCACACTGTTCCAGCGTGTGTAAATTCTTTGCACTTTGTCTGTGTAATACCTGTATGTTGTGAAGGACCAAGCATCGCGCTTGTGTTTTAAAGACTGTAGCTAACAAAGGCACAGAAAATCACCTTGGCAAAAGACGTGCAAGGATTTACTGTACTGTTCTGGAGACATCGACTTTTAATTTTTTTTATCATTTGTAGACACTTTGGATTAGTTTGTTGCATCATGTGTGCAATAAGCACGAGTGGGTTGATGGCAAATGTCAACATGGTCCAGTTGATGAAGAGCAGCATGATTTGCCTTGGTTTGACAGAAGGGAGACAGACTTTCAGGCACTTCAGGAAGTCATACTTGCTCCACGACTGTTGGCATCACTCAAGTATTATGTCAAATTCAGGTAGGAAAGATCATTCATTTTTCATAAACTCCCAAACATATGGCAAGTACTAGAGCTTTCAACCGCACCCTATACTACACTGTAGGTTGTAGCACCTCCTTTAACTCAGGTAGAACATGCTATCAAAGGGCATCCACAATTGAGTATTGGAAATCTTGTTTTATTCAAAACTCGTTAAATACAGTATACTAATATTATATTTGCAGACACACTGGAACACTGGAAACTGTGAACAGCCATTCCCTCATGTATGCATCAAAGAGGTGTGCGTTCGGGTAAGTTTGAATTTTTTAGTCAATTAATTTATGCCCAAATGCCACCGGTACCCCTCTTCAACAATACCTGAATGATGGATAATACCAAAATGGTAATGCACCTACAATGTAGCATCCTTTTGGTAAGGCTATTAGATATGAATTAACAGGACATTGATTTGTCAGGTGATGAAGTATAAAATGTTGAGAGGTGTTTTGAAATTAAGAGGTTGTCTTTCCTGGAATCGATATCCTGTGTGCCACCTATGCATTGAGAGAATAGACGATTTCCTGTACTTTATACTCCTAAGTTACCTTCTCATGCTTTTTTAACCTGAAAGGTGGCAGTAAATAACAATAAGAAATAAAAGTGCTTCAGGTCAATTCTGCTAACATTTGATTAGACCAATACAGAAAACAAAATGTGACTGACCAGAAGTAAGTAACAACAAATTAAGGAAACTGTGTTGTTTATTGTTTTTAATTTTGCTTTTTAGGTACAAGGCCTTTAAGGCAAGAAAGAAGTTATGCGCCATAGATCACAACTATCACCTCTATCGTCAACCCCTGACTGATGAGTCAGGGGAGAAAATGTTTCATCGGAGATACAATCAACGCACAAAGCATTGGGGTGTTGCTCTAGAGAAAAGTAAAAAGGATTATTCGTACATCCCAATGCTTATGGCAAAGATTTTCAAGTTGAGAAAGAATGATTCGGGATCCATGCAAGACTTCATGGATATGTCTCTAAATGATCCAAGAAGAATCGCACCAACGATTGCAATTTCTAACCCCCCAGTTACTAGTGAACTGGTTGCAACTCAAAGAAGTCGGTTTGATAATGAGTCCAATAATAATTTGTTGAGAACCTTTTAAATAAACCCCCCATACCAGTCTAAGATATAGATGTTAATTTAGTCTTTCAATATGTGCATTGTAAATGTTGTTTCTAGCAGCCAATTTTGAGGCAACAGTAACATTTGGCCCTGGCTGAAAGGTTTCCAAGTACATCAAGAATATATTGAATTGTTGGAAGAACAATGAACATGTCTTATTACGTGTAGTACAGCCATCTGGTGATTCATACTATGACAAACATGGTGGAAATGTGCCTTCCATAATCAGATTTTTTTGTTAATAATAACTTATTTACAGGAAAACTAAATAAAAAATGTACAATAACGGGTCATGAATGTAAAATAAATAGGAACTGGTTGTTATAATAGGCATAAATATGGGTAATTCAGTGTCATATCTATAACCAAACACATAGACAAGAGAACAAATTACAGGGAATTCAAAAAGCCTTATTTGACAATACAACATTTTGTGTACTTGTCATTTGGTCTACTATAACTACTAGCCCTTTAGTGAATGTAAAACAACTGTGTAGAACTGTAATGTTTGAGTTGTGTCAGGATCACAAAACAGCTTCAATTTGGAGGCTGGATGCATGCCTGGGTCTCTCAATAACCCAAAATAAGCAGATTGGAGAGTTGGTCCTATCTCAGTTAGCATTTTTTTTTTATATATTGGGGAGTCTACAATGTTATGCACATTCAATCATCTCTAAAACCCATGTACACTCCAGTTGGGGAAGGATATTGCCCGCGAACTTTCCAAACAGCACAAGATGGCACAACCTTGCGATTCCCCTTACCCAAATACCCGTACTTATCTAGTATGAACTGTCTGTAAGCGGCCTTTCTGAATTGTCGAGTACTGTTGTCAACAGGATCATTGCGAATATCAGCTCTATTTAGAATACATAATTGTAAAATGTCAGGATCCAGACAGAGTTTATAAAACCGCTGTGTCAATGTTACGCAATCTTTTTTTTACAACACAAATTCTCGATGGCTCTGCTCATTTGCCTACAATGCCCACACTTGCACCACTCGGGGACAGGTGGTGCTGGATGTCTTGGCCTGTCTGGTGTTGGTGGTCCTTCTGGTGCATGTGAACAGTCTAGTGTTGATGGTCCAGTGGAAGGGCCAGAGATCACCTCTTGGGTTGTTTCACCCATTGCCCCAGAGGTACTTTCAGTTTGTCTGACTACCAGCCGTCTAATGGGGGATCCATGTGCATTGATTATTGGACCATCACTTTCATCATCTGCGACCAGCTGGCTTTGGATAAATTCCAAACTGCCAATGCCCCTTGAAAGGACTCTGATGGCAAGCCTCCTTACTGTTTCTTCATCCAGGTTAAGTATCATATTCTTGAATAATAAAAAAAGAATAATATATTGATTTCTTTACTTGGTAGGACACCTTGCTAGACAATTCATATAAATCTTTTACAGCAGATAACGTTTTAGGGTAGATTTTCGCATACAAGCAATGGCAGCAATCCTCTGTGGGTTTATCGCTAGTGCTGTCTAAATTGAATACTAAAATTTTGGAAATAGAAAAATTATTTCTACAACACTGAGTGGACTGGGTGATCAATACAGAGATTGTTGTTCCCTAAGCAAAGTAAATTGTTGACCATGGGAGTGTATCAAAGTTTCCTAAAAAATATAGCCCAGTAATAGACCTTGAGACATTTCGATAACTTCAGAACAGAAACAAAAACATTTTACACGGGATGTCTCACCTCTACCGCCACATTTTCGCCGGCACATTCCTGCATTTCTGACAAGCGCTCAGCGGCAGAACCATTTTGATCACCATCAGTTCCTGTATTACGGCTAGAAGGTTGATTTCTCTGCCCAGTGTTTGCTCTCCTCCTCGCTGGTCTAACAAAATCAGCCTGTGAGAAATATACAATGTTTTCATAGCGGCTGAGTGTATTTGTAAACACCTGGAATATTGACAACAAAGGATTGAAAACTTGACAACAAACGACTGAAATGGTCGAAGGTCTATAGTCTTTCTGCACGTCATTCTAACTGCAACTGTGATATTCCAACGAGAAAATAAATTGCCTATACAATGTGTATAAAAAAGAAGAGTATCCCACCTGATTTTGACACTTTTTACCGGTCAGTAGACATTTGCACGAGGAAGAGCAGTAATCACCTCGCGTTTTGCAGGGACAACCCTTCGTTTTCCTGCCATCCTTCCGAGAACAAACTCCACTGCACTTGCAGAATTAAGCTTCAACTGGTGCCGAAGACATTTTCCAAAGGAAAACCATTGAATATATGCGTTACACGAAGATTTTATAAATATCTACGAGCGCAAGAAGCCAGCTGATTGACCGCGAAACATTCGCAAACGGCGCTACTTCTGCTCTCATTTGTGATTGGTTCATAAGCAATCAATTGCGTCATCGCTCGCACATGCGCGTAACCGTGAACCAGTCCCTTTAAACTTTTATTTTCTTGCGTTCTCATAAAAATTGTCTTTTCAGGTGTTATTACAGATAACTAATTACATCTATAGGCCTTGAAAAATGTAAAAAAGAATGGGATATTGTTTAAATTATTCTTGTGGTACAAGGTTTATGTCCACTGAAGATTAAAATTTATCAATTTCCTAGTGTAATTCTGTCTTAAAATAAAACTAAAATACGGCAAAAAAACGAAAACTACAACTAAGATTAAAAAATAACAATTATATACTAACCTCGGTTCAAATGGTTTAATAAAAACTGTTTCACTTTGTGTTTAAAAGTCGCTTTTGGCATCAAACACTGGAACTAACATAAAAATACTAACTATATATGGTTCAAAATGGTAGATGGTACTGAAGTATCCTACTAATAAGCCACAAAAACCGGATGCTCTTGCAGGCTACATACCCTAAAGGCCTCGTGCCCCTTAGTTTTGTTTGAGTATTATAAGTTTGCCCGACAATGAACATATACTTGCTCTTCATTTTTCAGAATAATGAGGTATTCTACTGGCCTCTAGCCCAATTAAAAAAAAGGACCATGGGCAAGAATGCACAAAACGAGGCCAGCCACATGTACAATTGCTAACACTACAGGTGGAGTTGCAACCCAAACTTCAGCACCATCTACCATTTCCAAAGCTGTAGTCAACAAAGCTCCATTAAAGAAAAGCTCAGCTAAAAAGGGGTCAACTAAGGCAACAACAACTGGGACTGCAGTTGGCGAGGGCAGTGCTAGCACTGTTGGAGTTGTAACCCAAACCTCAGCATTATCTACAAAAAGTACTTTACGTCAAAGTGAAAACCGCAGCGCTTGTTCTTTTAAATGAAAAAATTCACTATTCATTCGATTACGCGCCACAGGTCCACATGCCCTGCAACCCAATGCAACCTGGGCCGATTTACTTCAAAACCCCGCAAAAGTGTGGAATATTTGGAGTTATCAGGCCCAGCCAGGGGGGTAGTGGGATACCAATATACCTGCTATTTCGCCCCCAAGATACCAACATACCTCAAAATCGTAAAATGTGTGATACCAAATACCTAAAATTATTTTGAAACAGAATACTAAATACCTGAAAATGAACAAGTCAGATCTTAATAAAAGAGAAACTCCTGGTTCACTGTCCTCTTCCGCTCCCTTTGCGGTTGGCCAGCGTCCATGGTGATCGAATCCTTGTCACCTTGTCCATCAACGCTCTCTGCGAAAGGTTCTTCATCAGCTTCATTGGGAGAGGTGGTGTCAGTGGATCCGTTCACCAAGGCCAGGAGCAGATAATACTCCCCTTCATCTATTTCAACAGTTTCATTGTCAACGACTGTAATGCTGCTTACAACCCCCTTTATGCCCTCTTTTGAGATGACATGCTCTTCTCCCGAAGTAGTGAATAGGAGAGGATCAACAACATCTTGGGTGTAGCAGAGAGTTGTTACGTAACGAGCACTGTCATAGTCATCAACCACATCCTCTAACAGTTTTGTAATATACAGTGGGCTGTTCAGAGCAGAATGCGGTTTGTATATTCGGGAAACTGCAACATATGTAGACTGGGCGATGACAATGTTACGTGCTGTGCTGGTATCTTGGTGTTGAACGGGGATGTCTTCATTGAGAAGCACGTCAAACTCAACTGAATGTTGCTTCGGGGGTGCAGACTCGTGGAGGTTCAATGGTAGGGTGCCTGGCTTGTCTTTTGTTGAAAAGTTCCTTGTGGTATTCTGCCCGACACTCTTACTGTATTGCTGTACCCACTGACAGATCTCATCCAATTGCTTCTTGGATAAGCAACCAGACAAAGGCTTCGGTAATTTTGCAAGGTCACAGAAGTTTATATCAACATCACCTAAAGTAGGCTGAGGGTAGTACGAGGCCACTGGATTTGTAAAGTACCTGTAGCTCGTACCTTTGACACGTTTTAATAATTCGTTAATACATCAGGGAAAGCACAAGCAAAAGTCGAGCATCATGGGAGTGTCCGTATTACCCCCTCTCATACTGGAAGGGAAGTTAAAAGGCTTACAATGTTTAAGTGTTGAATGAAGTTTGGATTGATCTGAGTTCCATCACCTTTGTCCTCAGTCTAGTGAGGCCTTCCAGTATCATCTTCACGGAGTTCAGTGTAGTAGCAGATAGTGTTCCGTCTGGTCCTTCGGTCTGGGAAGTTGAGCCCTTGATACCCTGAACTTTCAACGAGCTTAGTGTGCCCTGGGTACGAGATTGCGAATCGGGAGGTGGTGTGAGTGGGGGTGGTGGTGGGAGACTGGGATAGGAAGCCAAACAGTAACAATTTCGAGCATCCGAACTATTTCTAGTGAGCATTAGAACCATAATAAAACTAAGAAATGAATTATACATTTCTCAGTGATTTCTGTGCCATATACCGAATACCTAGATTTCAGGAAAAACTGAATACTTTATACCCGAATTTTGACCAAAAAATACCATATACCTGAATTGAAATAGCCCAGGATACCGTATACCCAAAACCCCTGGCCGGGCCTGAGTTATGTGTGAAGGAGTACCTAGCCAAGTGAACTTTCTTATTGACGAAGCTGTTTCTACTGGAAAGGGAGAAAACGCAACTATCAGTTCTATACATTATTATTTTGAACATCATGGACTCCAGGAAACTGATGTCTATCTTAACGCGGATAATTGCACAGGGCAGAACAAAAACAACAACTTCCTCTGGTATTTAGCGTGGAGGACTTTGATGAAACTTCATCATTCAATTACTTACTCATTCCTGATAGCAGGAAATACAAAGTTTGCGCCGGATCACTGTTTTGGCCTCATCAAGAAGGCATACAAACTCACGTACGGCTCTTCACTTAGGAATTTGCGAGACTTGTTGACACTTCCAGTATTTCAGGATTGAACAAAGCTTAAGGTCTCGGTAAAGGAAAATTTTAGTACATTGCTCGATTTTGTTTTTTTTGGATTTTTGGCATGAGTGGGTCCTAAATTTTATTTTGGCAGAAAAAGAAAATCAGAAAGTGCTTTTTAACCCTTCTAAAATGAGCCTTTTCTGTTTCCCGCCATAAGTTGCGCGCGAAAAGTGATTCACAGCCCCTGTCAATTGCGTGACAAAACACTCAAGTGTCGTATTTCAAGAGCGCGTGCTGGCGTAGCTCGATAATTCAAAACACTCTACTCTCTACGGAATATGAACCCTATGAAACGGAAATCGGACTGTCCCTGGACTAGCACACGGAAACGGAAGAAACAGACAAAGACAACGGAAAGTATTTCTGAGCATAAGAAAACTACACTGGCACAGTCAGACAAGGGATCATGGTTTGATCAAGTAAAATGGCTAGATGAGGAAGAGTTGAACGCAAGCGTTTCCGCTCGGAAACTTTGCTCTGAAATCGACTCAGACGACCGTACAGAGAAAAGAAACAACATTGTAGTTGATATAAATTTGTTGAATGGAGCAATCGAGAGGTCACTTGTGTGCAAATTTTGCCAGTGCCCGGTGTTTTGCGAGGAACTCGAAGAGCGCAGCGGCCAAGGTGTGAGATTTGGCTTCGTTTGCACGAATGCGAACTGTAGTCTCATTCAGATGCCTTTTAACTCCTCAAGTAAATCAGGAAAGCTTTTCGATATCAACAGAGCGTCTACCCTTGCTTTTCGAGCGATTGGAAGGGGACAACTGGCAGCTGCAAAAACGTTGAGTATTTTAGGTCTACCAAAGCCCTTGAGCAAGCCGGTTTGGTGCGAAAACACCAAAATAATAGCCGATGCATGCAGTGAACTTGTTCGCGAAGAACTCGAACATTCAGCCAGGGAACTGAAGGAGCTAGTGGAGACTGATAGCGAAGGATACTGTACCACAGCTGTTTCTTTCGATGGATCGTGGTGCAGCCGCGGATGGTGTGCGAGAGACGGAGTTGCTGCCGGGATCTCACTCAAAACAGGAAAAGTTCTGGATGTCATTCATCTTAGCAGTTCCTGTTCTACTTGCGATCGACTGGAAAAGCTCCACTCAGAGGACAGCTCTCGCGGATGGAATTCCTTGAGAAACAAGTTGAGCACGGGGAAGTTTGCTACCTAAATCACGACGGTAGCGCCCAGGTAAGGTTTTCTAAAATAATAATAATAATAATAATTTTATTCCACTTGACCACTACTTTGAACCAATTGACCAGTACTTTGAACTACAAGTAGTATTTCCTGTTTTCAAAAAGATACCATTTTTTCTTCTCCCCTGTCAAAGGAGATCATTCCTCAACAACATTTACAAGGTCTAGGTCGGAAGTGAGGAGGAAGTTATTACCAATCCCGAATCTGGCAAAGATTTTTTTCTGCCTTTAGTTATTGTGGTGATGACTGTATTCACACAGGGAAAACCCACTCAGGACAAACTTGTATATGTCAGGAAATTTTATTTTGAGGTTCCCTAAAACTGCTACTCTCATTGCCCAGAGATTCCTCCCGCCACTTTGGCGCTCGCCGGAAAACACTCCATCTATTTACTTGGTGCGTTCATGAATGCCATCTACAGCATCAGTCTTAGAAAGGTTCTTTATTATTATTATTTTCACTGCAGACTATGGATCACACCAAAAAAATATATACCCTGGTATTTCAATATACATGTAATATAATATAAAAATATACAACAGTGCATTCTTTGAATTTGCCTGTGGACTCTGAAGCAATTTCTGAGTGAACAGATATTCTCCAGTTGTTTCTTCCTACTCCTGCCCCCACCCAGGATGTTCAGTATTCATCTCTTACTGCATTTTCACTAAATGCCTTTATCAGATATGAGATGTGCTTTTGTCAACCTAAAGCAAAAATGATTGTTTTCTTTGTGTCACAGTCTATGGAGGCAGCAGGGGTACTGACCCTTTATAAGCGTACTCCAGAGGGGATCAGATACAGCCCATTTGTTGGGGATGGTGATAGTAAATCATACTCTCAGCTTGAACAAGCTGCACCATATGGACCTTCATTCCACATACCGAAGGAAGACTGCATTGCGCATGTCACAAAAAGGATGGGCACCAATCTCAGGAAAAAAGTGGCAGAATACAAAGGTAGGAAAACTTGTTCAAAAATGCTGTACTCAACAGCTACAGCATTACTATTCAGTAAACATGCCTAAATGTTCACTCCAGTATACTGCACTAAGGAATCTAACTCAAAACCTGATATAATTATAATACCAAGTATGAAAGCTCAATGGCAGATTTTCGAAATACACTGGCACGCGGAAATGGGCCCCAAAAGGCTGGAATTTTAGTGCGTGGTGCACAATGAATTTCCTGCCTTTCACATAGCTTCGCTTTGGTGATGAACAAAACGTGTGAGTCAAATTATTTCGAAAATGGTCCATTTTGTTTAGTTTCAATTGGCCAAGAGCATATCATGTGAACACGAAGAAACTCAGCTGTTTCCCTGGTGACGAGTTTGACATACCAATAATATGTTGCAGACCAGCAATAACAAAGATACGTGTCAAAATAAAAAAGTCACATGTCAAAATTCATTTACAAAAATTATTCACCTCCATTTTCCTTGCCATGAGGAAAGATGGCAAATTTTCAAAATAATGATAAGGGAACATTCTCCCAAACAAGCAAGCAGTAAAATTGCTTTTATCTACATTTTGTCCAGACAAAAATACTGTTTAAAGCCTTGGCACTTGGTATGATAATTAAGCAATGATTTACTGGTAACTCAGGAAAGCAGTATGTTTCGCAGCTCCTCAACCACCCATGTTTCCCAGGAGGGACTCAGGCCTGACGTCCAGAGATGAAAAAAAAAGCATGCTTTGAAAATTACAATAACTAGATGGGAAAACCTCCTCCAAAAAGGTGGCACTGACCACTAACCCACCCCCTACCCCCTCTGAAAAAAAAGACAGCTGTTTTATTTGAAGTTCATTTTGTGATATCTGCATTTTAGGCAAAAAGCTTGCTGATGGTCGAAAGGGACTAGGTGGCGTTGGTGGCCTGACAACCAAGAGAATCGACAGCATGCAAGGCTGGTATGGACAGGCCATCCGAAACAACAAGGGAGATGCCAAGGCAATGTCCAAGGCTACACATGCCATATTAAAGCATTGCTCGAGCACTCTAGAAAACCCCAACCACAGTGATTGTCCTACTGAGAAATCTTCATGGTGTTCCTTCCAGCGTGACACTGCCAATGGAACAGAGTTGCACCGCCCATATAAACATCCTTTGACACCAGCCATTGTAGATGCTATTCAACCTATCTTTGACTCATTGGGTGATGAAAGATTTCTAGCAGGCTGCGAACAGTGTTTTACACAAAACCAAAATGAGTCATTGCACCACGTGATCTGGAGTCTGGCTCCCAAGCAACAATATAATTCACCTGCAGAGATTGACATTGCCACTAATTTAGGAGTATTGTTATTTAACCGTGGCTATGCTAGCACATACATGAAGCTCTTCCCCAAGATTGGATTAGTACCAACCGAAGAGCAAGTCGAGGCCTGGAAAAAGCTAGACAAGGAACGGGTGGACACTGCCGAGTACCAGTCATCAGAGGAAGTAAAGATCAAGAGGAAGAAGCTGAAGAGGTCCAAAGTAAAGAAGCAAGATGCCTTTGTAAGAGCTGAAGGGGTTATGTACAAATCCCAGGCATTTCATCAAACTGGCAAGAAGCCAAAAGGCAAGAAAGCAACTTCCAAGAAAGGGAGCACTAAGAAATCTTGCAAGGCTCGTGCATCAAAAAGAGGCCAGAAATGAAAGCAATGACCAAGTTTGTGACCACAATCATCCAGCTGTCTACAGCAGTCTAGTTTATTTCAGAATCCTTTACTTTAATAACTTTTGTACAAAAATGAAAGGATTCCTATTTTCAGAAAACAGCCAATGAGGGTATGATGTACAGTACCTCTTTCAGTACTGTACCTGTGCCATATGGCCTTTTGTAATTTCAGGAAATGTGTACAGTGTAATCTCAGCTTATTTTATTAACATTCAGTGTACATTGAAAATATATTTTGCAAATGTTTGATTTTTGACAACTTTGAGACCATTCATTGGTGTGTATCAGAGAGGCCAAGGCCATTTTTGAAGATGAATCATGAACATGGTTATAACAGTAACGTGTAATTTCAGAGCCCGTTCAGAAAAAGTTTCATTATTGAAAATGTTTTCGGGTAATGTGTAATTTTAGGGGGAGGAAATCTAGATCCCTACCATTTTCCAAGAGTAAAGATTCTATTTTTCCATAAAAGTACTTTGGGGTGGGGTCCTCAGGAAAATTCCCTCATTGGCGAAGGCTTGATACAATTTCTGCTTAGCTAATTTCTGCTTAGCACGGCATATTGAAGTAGTTTACGAATGACATTCAGTAAGATGAATAACATTGACTATACAGTAACATAAGTGACTTTTGTTCTATGTACATAACAATCAGAAACTGAGATTAAAAAGAAATGTCATGCTTCATTAAATTTCTACAAAAAAATGTTTTCAGCTGCCTATTCTTGAGCTGTAGGTAGTTCCAAGGCAGTACAGAAGTCTTTCATGCTGACTTGAAAAGCATCCTGGAATATAAAAATAAATATTAAATGCTGCAGTTATAACTAAACTATGTTTCTTATGTATTCTTACCTCTCGAATCTCCCCCACCACGTCACCAGGGACAAGCGCCCTAATGAAGCTTAGCACTGTGCTCGGGAAGCTAAATTGAGCATCGCTTGGGCCAATTTCTTTACGCTAGATAAATCAAAATAAGTCATTAGAACTGTGGTAAAACAATGAAAAAGGATTTTCTGTTTTGCTTAGACCTGTACAATAAATATATTGAATCATTAGCCTGCGCCAGAAATGTTTATCTGTTTACAAGCTACAAAGGCTTTCCGCTAAGAATTCATAAGACGTTTTACATTCCCCTTACAGAGTAAGTGTCCGTCCTTCCAACCTACCATGAGAGAGTGCGCCCAATGACAATACTCAAGATAGCGTATCCTCCGTGGAAGCTTTCCCCGCTTCATGCGATCTGCCATCTTTGTCTCCAAGTTATTGGCGAAAAATTCCCCGTCATATCTAGTAACAAAACAGTAGATCAAACTGCAATTCCAGCTATCTGGAAATAACAAGTAAAAGAAAGGGCTCATCCGTAGAAAGTTCATTCGGTTCACTCCGGGATCCTGTGCATAACTCGCATAAATATTAGCATAAATATATAATTTTTATTTTTATCACGCATGCCACGACTTGCACGTAAAATTTATTTATTATGGTTTTAGCAAATATTGGTCACATGCGTTTCAGTATGGTAAATTCTAAACACTGATACTGTAGGTGTTTGTTGATTAAAATATGCCACCCCGTATTGTGTTCACTTTTCACGAAAATCTTTCAGATGAAAAGTTGCCAGAAATAAAACGAACGTTTGTTCTTTTCAAACCTTAAAACCTTTGGTTAGTTGTAACAAGATGAACCACAAATTTGCATAATTTTTGTTTGCAAGATATTTGCTCACTGATGGGTGTCTTGGCACTCTCACTTTTCACTTTCCCGTGAACTTGAAACTTGACTCGGAAAACCGACTCCCAAACAAACCTTCTTCAGAAAAATGATCTTCAGAATGCATTACTTTTGAATGAGAAGCAAACTGATGAAAGCTATCAATTTTTTATGCCCTTTAATAATATAAACATCTCCCCTGTCAGCGGCTAAGAAATACTCCCACGGCAAATTGCAGAATGAAGCGCTTTCACTGGCAGCTCTTCGAGTTGTCTACGTTGTCTTTTAGTGTGTCCACTGAGAACTTTGGTTTCACGGTTTCAACGCCTTTTTTTTTCTTAAAAAATGTTTTTCTAAATTGTAAAGTGTCTCAAATGCATGTTAATCATTCACGTGTTGTGGTGGACTTAGAAAAAATTCTACAGTGTGGCAGCGCCGAGAGCAAAACAGCAAAAAATCAAACTAGTTGAAGACATCGGGAGTGAATATTGCGTTGAACTCAAAGCGTTACAGAAGATTGACTACTTGAACATTTTCACAAGAGGTTAACCAGTAATACAATGAGTAATATGTAGTTTTTAGCATTGTGTTCAAAGATAAACGTTTGTCTGTTATTTGGACCTTCATTCCGTTAGCTTCACTTAATTCATCACTGTGAGTTGACTTTCAAGACAAAGGCATTTATAATCAAAAGGTGAACACTGAATTATTGTACTAGTGTGTCAAGAGTATCTTACCAGGTCTACTTATAGTTCACACTTTTACGGTTATCTATTGCTTCTCTTAAACTACAGCTGATTGTAATGAATAAATGAAGCCAGTAATTTATTAACTTACAGTGTAATTAAGAAAGGAATAATTAATTAATAATTTTTCATTCTGCTCGCGAAAAAATTTTTCGGGCTAGTAAAAATGACTTTCGGGCTGTAGAATTGACCCTGAGTCCTACAGGCCTGATAATCAACAATGATTTCATTATCCTCTGCATTTCCTTATCACTACAGTTTCTTTAAGATAATCGAGCAGGTTGATTTCCGAGTCACATTATTTAAAATGTTTTCTTTCGAGCGTAATTTGCACGATTGCACTGCGATTGAGTCCAGGCTGAAACGCTAAGATTACATACCCTTCCTCACGAATTTCCCGTAACATGAGGCGCTTGGCTTCCGTCTTTTCAATAGGAACCTGTGCTGTCTCTTTCTTCTTCCCCTTACGCGATTTTCTCTTTGTAGGTTTAACTTTCCCCATCGCTAAGAAGAAAGGATTGCTTGCTACCGAATATTTCACCTTTCACCAAGCCGAAGTGTTGACAAAACTTCCCGCGCAATCCCGCACAAACGAATGACCATGACCATGACCATGACTAATTCCTTTGTTACTTGCGCGGAAGGTGATTGGCTAGAGTTAATTAAAGTTCAAGTGGGGGGCGGAGCTAACCAGCCAAACGTGGACCTCGCGCTAAATCTTTAGAGCTGTTTTTCTCTTACTCTATTTTAGACGCAAAAATCAAACTTCTCCGACCTCCAGTCGGGACAGGTTTTAAGCTATCGCTTTGAAACTTTCAGATGAGATGGATAATGATATAGACTCAAAAAAGGAGTGAGGAATTTTCCGATTTCCCTTTGTAACTCATTTTATGTCAGTTTCTTTGCGTAAATCGCACTCGAGATTCGACTTTTTAGTTTGAAATGCAATAATTCCGCTAATAAGAGACATATGCAAATTTCCTCACACCCTTTTTTAGGTCTTTTATCTGTCAATCAGATGCAATAAAAAAGAAATGAATATTTAACAACGCGAAAGGGCTGGAGCTTCAGCAGTAGACTCTATACCTCTGAGTTCGAGAGCAAAAAACTTAAGCGCCTTTTGAAATTCGATGAAATAAAATATTTTATAAGGTAATTTAGTCTTTTAGCTTTAATTTGATATATAACTTGCCTTTGTAGCGAAAATACTCGCGCGACTAGGATTTTTTTCCGTGGGCACCTCGTTTTCCTTTACCAAGACCTTAACTCGTTGTGACACACGAGGGGAGAATTCTTGACCCTGTTTACGACTGGGCTTCGTTTCTTGGACAATAGTTTAGAAAGCTGCCAAATATAAAGAGCTACCACCATTTTCGTTTTTCAAAGGAAATCACTGGAAAGGTGTATTTCAAGGAGTTTGTAACAAGCCCTGAACAATCTTTTGTGTTACACTAAAGAACAATGTGAGTCTGCCACCTCCAACAACCCCTCCTTGTGTGGTCAGTCCTGAAGGGCTTACTGAGGAACGAAGAACTACATTTACCGTGAGATTAGACAATTTTGTTAACTAGGGACTGAAGATATCGTAGCACCAGCCCCGTGAACATTGTAACTCGAGGGAATTTATGCATGCAAGTGACGCTTCATTGACTTTGTACATGACACTTTTTATGTATGACACGAATTGAAATCTGTATGTAACATTATTATGAACTTGTAAAATAAATCTCATGGTAGAAGTAAACCAGTGTGGATTAATGCTTGTTATTAGGGGTGACGTAGAATTCGAGACTCACCAATTGCATATATAATACAGAATCGAATATGGAATACAGTCTTTATTTCTGTCTAATGAGTAAGTTGAATTTATATCATGTTCTCTCGCTGAGTTTCTCGAAAAGTATTTTGGGACTGGAGGCCATGTTAACTTGGAATTTGCATATGAGCATGTAAACAGTAAAGCATGTTTAAAAAGTTATTTCGGCAATTTGGGTTAACGGTAAAAGTCCTTGACTGTCAAAATGTTGACTCACGATGAGAGTGTAAACATGGCATAACTCTGTCTCATAACATTTTTAGCTCACTGTTTTCAGTGCATGTACCTATCACGCGCAACGTGCTAATTTAAAATATTCGATTGTGCGAGCATTGTTTTGTTGCATGCTTGTAGTTTCATCAATTCACAGCGCGGAAAGTTTAGGCTAATCCTAGCACCTGTAAATACTGTTAATTATGAGCAGTTTCAAGAATGCATACAACGCAGAGTAGAAAACTATTTATCTCCCGAAAATAATTCATTTTTAAACGAATTCACTGGAGGGTTACCGATTGTCTTAAGCCATGGTCTGAGAGACTTCGTTGAAAACATCGGCCCTCTAGTTTTGGCAAACCAATTTTGCAAGTTTAACTATATACTGTGTTTCGAAAATGAATGTTGATTTAATATCCTTTCTTATATGCGTGTTTCTCCAAAAAAACCTGAACCTAGTGACATGCTATAGAACGCCTCTGACTGTGGTGTATGTAAACCTGCAATTGCTGTTTTTCAAAGCCCACAAAATACGCAGCGTTTAGAATGACATTTTCTTTCTGGTCTGAAACATCCACAGGACTCAGTTATTCATTGGTTGATTGAGTGAAAGTGATTCCTCAGCCGTCCGCTGTGGTGATGTAAAATGATGAGGACATACAGCTTTCTTATGTTAATAACCTCTTACAAAACAAACTCAATTACTCCAATCAAAAAGCTGGATTTTCGATCCTCCTCATTAGGCATTCTTGGTATAAAGCGTTTTTCTCTAACTGTTTCATAAGTGTTTCTAACGTATGACCAATTTGAGTTTGAGAGACTGTCTCTGTTTGACATCGTTCGATCCGAAATGGCTTTAACTTTAAGACAGTTGTGTAAAGAAACAATTAGGCTACCCTGCAAGGCTCTGTTCTTCTTCTGAGACGAAAAGATGACGGAAATAGCGCCAAGACGCCTTATCATTGAGAAGAGTATAGATTTAAAAGAAGGAATGACGGTGACCGTAAACTGGCAAGGAAGAAAAGTGCCTGCTGAAATATTAGCCTTAAGTGGTAAGTAATGCCTTTCATCCTGTATCGTACAGACAAGTGCGTCGCTTTTCACATTAAATTACATGGCAGAATTAGGTTCACAGGAATACATTCTTGTAAGTCAGTTTTATTGCAAACACTCGCTTAAGTGACTAGCTCTTATTAGAAACAAAGTACATCTGAAACAATTTTGTTGAATAAGTGGAACTGATCAGTTAATATCCGTGATTTCAACGGGCTTGTACAAACTAGTGGGCGAGAAAGTTTTCACTTCCTGTAGTATAATCACTTGAAATTAGTGCTATGATACTGTAACTAATTGTCATACTTACACGTTGGTTTTGTAGACAAGGAAGAAGTCTTAAATCATAAAGACATTCAGTGCTGCGAAAAAAAACTTGCCACCATTACCCAATCTAGAAAGCAACCAACAGACGGAGTCAGACCCCGAGGTACAACAACCGTCCCAGAAGAATGATGTAGAGCGGCCCAACAAGTCAACCAAGGTAATTCTGATTATCACAAAGTGCTCTTTTGTAGTATAGTGTTTTATATAATATTGAACGCCATTCAAACGCCAGCACATCATAATTGTAAGTGGTATTTTTACCGTCTCGTTAAGGTTAACCAATTAAAATGATGTAATGCACGAACTGCGTAGTGTAATGGTCTATTACAGTTTTCTGTTAGTGCGCATTTACCATCTACAGCAAATGCATAATAATTTTTGAATGACTACTTGTTAATAACCCAAATATCAGAGTCTAAGATCACTCTTGCACGCAAACAAAGCGAATGAGCATGTAACGTTGAATTATTACAATAAGTTGTTAGCTGTTATACTCCCATAGTAGACTTTCGTTTTAATAAATATGTTGTATTGGTCTTTCAGGTGAAGACTGGGCGGACAAAACTTTCCGCTACCCCCAGTGACCCATACCAAGAGTTTCTGGCAGAAGAGAAGAAAAGAGCGGCAGAGTGGTGCGAGCAAACCAAAGCAAAGAAAGCAAGAAATGAGGAAAAGGAGCCCAAGAGTTCCAGTGCTAGTGTGACCGCAGAAGAAGTTACTCCCATAAAGCTTCAACTGGAGTCCAAAAACCGAGAATGTGCTCTTCTGAGGGACCAGCTGCTGGTACAAGACACCGTATTTATTCGACTATAAGCCGACCTTGGCTATAAGCCGACACCCTGAACTCATGAGACATGATAGTCGGCGAAAGCTTTAGGAAAAAAATCGGAAAAATATCGGCTATAAGCCGAGACCAAGGTTTCTTCACAAAAAGTTACTTGAGGCCTGACCCCTGTTTTGCAGCCATTAGACAAGTGCTTGAACAAGCCCTTCAAAGATAACGTCTGAAGAAAGTACTTTGCATGGATGATCAGGGGCCTGTTCGACTATACTCCGGCTGCAAAGAAGAAGGTGCCTTCGAAAAATCTTGTACTTCGATGGTTGCATGAAGCATGGCGAGAGATCTCGGTGGAGATGGTTGCTAAGTCCTTCAAGACCTGTGGAATCTCCAACTCTTTGGATGGAACTGAGGATGACAAGCTGTACACTGAAGAGGTGCAGGAAATCGACGACAACGAAGAAGACAACGAGTTCGAGACAGAGAGTGAAGCTGAGAGCGATGGCGAGTAA